AGACAGAGAGAGAGACAGAGACAGAGAGAGAGAGAGAGAGAGAGAGAGAGAGAGAGAGAGAGAGAGAGAGAGAGAGAGAGAGAGAGAGTGAAAGAGAGAGAGAGAGAGAGAGAGAGAGAGAGAGAGAGAGAGAGAGAGAGAGAGAGAGAGAGAGAGAGAGAGAGAGAGAGAGAGAGAGAGAGAGAGAGCAAGCTAAGCCAGTTGCAGTTTTCATAAGCTATAGTTACGCAGTTTAATAATAGTTTTTTTAATATTATAACGGGTTCAAGAACCGGACCACAACAGTCTCCAAGGTAAACAATTAACACGTATGGTGAATTGGTTGCATGTAATTTTATTTGGTTATCATGCACCGTGCACTCATCCAGCGGGCGCCGACGGAAAGTTAACAATCACGTTTATACACTAAGTACAATACGCAAATTTGGTATATGGGAGAGTGGGAGCGGTAATTGCTATTATTAATATTAGAAAAATTATTTGTATTATTGGATATAATGAGATCAAAGACAGGAAATACCTTCCGTTATCGCCCTAATGCAGTCAAATCACACACTAGACAACAGGGCGGTATTCTGGGTATTCCACAAGTCACAGCCCAGTTATGCACCACACCAGGAAAATTTAAATATTGTTTAGGTTCAGTGATATTTATTTTCCCGCTGCAATATGAGCTTGAAGGGAGGGGAGGGGGGGGGGGGGAATCCACTGTCAAAATAACAGATTTCCTCGTGGCACTTCTCGATAAAACGACACTGTCGAGTAAGGCCAAAATTAGTAGCCAGTGACGCTTCATTAATACCTGGTGTACTCACCGATTTGTGCTTGCGGGGGTTGAGCTCTGGCTCTTTGGCCCCGCCTCTCAACTGTCAATCAACAGGTGTACCAGTTCCTGGGGTCTATTGGGCTCTATCATATCTACACTTGAAACTTTGTATAGAGTTCCTATTGCTTAGGAAGCAATAGGAAGCCCCAAAGAATGACGTAATTTGACAAAATTCTATGCCTAAGATTACCATCCGAGCGCCGGCGGGAAAGTGGTTCAAATAGCTTCGGCTATCACTTCCTTATGTCCGGTCGTGATGGTCAAGTGGATTTAGGCGTCCTGTACATACCAGTTGCGTTGCTCCTGGCAGCATGGGTTCGAGTCACTTCTGGGGTGTGAGTTTTCAGTTGCATATAGTCCTGGGGACGATTCAGGCTTGTTCGCATATATATATATATATATATATATATATATATATATATATATATATATATATATATATATATATATATATATATATATATGCAATTGACGATCACAAAACACTGATCATTTTATGCGGAAAATCCACAGAGAAATATGAAATGAGCTGAACGTTTCGGCTTGTTAAAGCCTTGGTCAACACCAGACTGACTAAGGAGAAGGGAAGGGGGAGGATATATAGGCCGACACCTGACCAACCCATCCCAAGGGAAAGAATTAACCAAAAACAGGTATAGTTTTGCTTAGAATGGTCAAAGAGGATAAAGCGGTCAGAGAATAAGGATGAAAGATTAAAGAAAAGCCTCATGAACACACAATATATGAATATACAATTATAATGAGACATTGTAAGCCTCTCTATCAGAGTTGTTTCTTAAACTGTTGTGCAATATTATAACTTAAAAATGGATCAAGTTTGTACATACCAGTACTAACATTAAGAAGATTTGGACACTGACTGATTAGAGCAGACTCAATCAAATTCCGTTCCACGAAATCCCCACAATTGGTAATGCTTTTTGCCCCATTCCAGTTAATATTGTGATCGCATAAACTCGTATGTAGATACAATGCATTAGACGTTTGGGCAGTTCTAATACTAATTTAGATCACAAAACGTTTTGACGTTTTAGACGTTTTGGGCAGTTCTAAGTATTAGAACTGCCCAAACGTCTAATGCATTGTATCTACATACGAGTTTATGCGATCACAATATTAACTGGAATGGGGCAAAAAGCATTACCAATTGTGGGGATTTCGTGGAACGGAATTTGATTGAGTCTGCTCTAATCAGTCAGTGTCCAATTCTTCTTAATGTTAGTACTGGTATGTACAAACTTGATCCATTTTTAAGTTATAATATTGCACAACAGTTTAAGAAACAACTCTGATAGAGAGGCTTACAATGTCTCATTATAATTGTATATTCATATATTGTGTGTTCATGAGGCTTTTCTTTAATCTTTCATCCTTATTCTCTGACCGCTTTATCCTCTTTGACCATTCTAAGCAAAACTATACCTGTTTTTGGTTAATTCTTTCCCTAGGGATGGGTTGGTCAGGTGTCGGCCTATATATCCTCCCCCTTCCCTTCTCCTTAGTCAGTCTGGTGTTGACACCTCATTTCATATTTCTCTGTGGATTTTCCGCATATATATATGTATATATATATATATATATATATATATATATATATATATATATATATATATATATATATATATATATATATATATATATATATATATATATATATATATATATATATATATATATATATATATATATATATGTGTGTGTGTGTGTGTGTGTGTGTGTAAATAACACGAATATATATATATATATATATATATATATATATATATATATATATATATATATATATATATATATATATATATATATATATATATATATATATACATATATATATATATAACTGAATAGAACTTACGCATCTCCGATTTTATATCTACATTTGAGTGAGGTGGAAGGGGTGATGTGGCATTAACACAAGACAGAACAAGATGTGGTATTAATAGGGTATTAATTTCATCAACACAAGACAGAACACCAATGGATATTGAATAGAAGTGTTTGTAGAAAGCCTATTGGTCCATATTTCTTGATGCTTCTATATTGGAGCGGAGCCTTGAGGTGGGTAGAATATAGTTGTATATATATATATATATATATATATATATATATATATATATATATATATATATATATATATATATATATATATATATATATTCGTGTTATTTACACACACACATATATATATATATATATATATATATATATATATATATATATATATATATATATATATATATATATATATATATATATATATATATATATATGCAGTGTATTCTAGTCTGACACCTGGAAATGTGTTTCGCAAGGTACACCTTATATTTTCAAAGACAATTTTACTGTGTTAAACAACGGATTATATTCTTTTTGGGTGAGGTCGTTGATGAATACCTTCACAAGGGGGTATTAAAAATATCAATGAATAGATAGATCAAGGGGTATAAATGAATAAATGGATCAAGGGGTGTCAATAAATAAATGGATCAAGAGGTGTCAATAAATAAATGGATCAAGGGGTGTCAATAAATAAATGGATCAGGGGGTATTAGTTGGGTGACTGGATGCTGTGTCTGTGTTGACTCTGGGTCTTGAAGTGGGTAGAATGTAATTGTGTGTTAGCTGGTTGTTGATTGCTGGTCTGGACTTCTTAATATGTAGTGCATCACCGATGTCCAGTCTCCAGCTGTCGTTATGTCTGTCGATTATTTCTGTTGCTTGTCAAGATGTCTCTGGTGATGATCTGGTTTTGTGTGGAGATTACATGTTACTTGATAGAGCCCTGTTGTTTGTGCATTATTAAGTGCCTAGAGAGACGTTGTTGTCTTGCCTATATACTGAGATTGTTGGAGCTGACAGCCCCCAAGTGGACATGTGAAGGCATAGACGACGTTAGTTTCTTTTAAGGCGCTTTGCTTGGTGTCTGGAGAGTTTTTCATAAGCAAGTTTGCGGTCTTCTTGTTATTGAAGTAATTGTTACTGTAAAAAAAAGGAAAAGAAAATACTGTAAAACAATTTAATAGGAAGTAAAGGTGTTGTGTTGGTTGTTTCTTCAGAGGTTGCAAGGCATGTCACTTTTCTTTTAATGACTTCTTCAACATAACCGCCTGAGAAGCCATTATTGACTAGGATCTGCCTATCTTTACAGAGTTCCTCGTCGACCTGCGTTCCTCGTCGTTCCTATGCGACCTGCATAGCCTGAGCTATGAGTTAGAGCTCGGTCGAAGTAGGCGTTGACAATACTCCGCTTGTACTGTATATACTATACTGTACAATACTGTATATACTATACTGTACTGTATATACTATACTGTACAAAACTCCGCTTGTACCTATCCGGGCAGTCACTGTTAGCATTAAGGCCATTCCTATGTTTGTTTCCCCCTGGTGTAGACTGCGGTATGGAAGCCACCATTCCTTTCCAAGACTGTTACGTCTAGAAAGAGTAGCTTCCCATCACTCTCCATCTCATAAGTGAAACTTAACACGAATTTTGCAGCAGATGAAGGAGGCATTCCAGCAAAATTCCGTGTTAAATTTCACTTATATGATGGACATTGATGGGAAGCTGCCCTTTCTAGATGTAACAGTCGCAGAACTAATGTTTCATTCATCAGAATTAAGGTGATTTTTCTGACAAATATTTATAAGAAAGATGTTTTCCAACTATGCTTGGCAAATAGGCAATTTAGGCAACAAGGTAAACAAAATCTTATCTATTATGTAAACCCCTGAATGCTCAACGGTTTAAACTAATTAGAAAGCAATCTATTTTAGATTGCGAATATCAACGAAATATGAGTTGCAAGAAGTCTTCCAGCTAAAACACTAACACTTTCCACGATGCAAGACCATATTTCCTTTTATACACTCCTCAACGCTGTTTAAAAAATGTCAAAACATGTTTAACGGTTGTGTGAAGCGGCGAGGAGCGCCCTGCGTCGACACATCACAACACAGGCTGCCCAGTGTGTAGGGTTGTATCCCGCCATACCAAGTAATAATGTGGGTACATGCCCAAATATCAAGTTGACGCAATATACCACCACACGGGCTTCACTGTGGTTCTCACTTCCATCTTTTGCTATTACTAAGTGATGAGACAAGCTTGTAACCTTTTTTTGTCATTGTTCATACTGGTATTTTGTCTCAGATGGGAAGCTGTCTTGGATCCTCTGGCAAGGCCGACCTGCCCCACGACCAAAGGCAAGTTGTTATATTAAAGTTGCGACCTCTTAACAAGACGCTAGCTTACCTAACGACAAGTGGGGATGTTTTTCCTTACTTCTGTTCGGGCATGATGCATAACAATGCAAACAAGCTTAGTATTAAAGCTTAGTGCTTGGTTCGGCGGGTTATTGGTCCACTGGCTCCAGCTTGGCGAATGACATCATCCAGTTTTTACGGAGCTGCCATTATCCTGGTTTTAACCATATAAACAACTCAACAGTGGCAAATTATAATTTAAATCACTGCTTTCATTGCAAATCATTAATGAGTAACAGCATGGCAGGGAGGCTTAACTCTTGTTTTCACCTCAACAAGAGCATCACTGGATTGTACGATACTCTCCTAAGTGTTTACTATAATAATAGCACCGCTGTATTTAACAACCCTCAAAAAGTCATTCACCGTAATAGGAACAACGCGTCCACTCGCTGCTCCCAATTACCAGGCTATCCGCACACGCGTCTATCCACTCTTGAATAGTAATTAAGGAGTCACTTTCGCTGTCACCTAACTGCTTACATATTCTCGCACCTGTAGACCAAAGCTCATTTTAATCGATGCCAATAAATTAGAATGTTCGAGGTTGGAGGCCAGACGGTTGGGGCTAACCTCACCTAACTTTGTACTCAGCACTCAGACCTCAACACTCAGACCTCAACACTCAGACCTCAACACTCAGACCTCAACACTCAACACAGACCTCAGCACTAAGACCTCAACACTCAACACTCAGACCTCAACACTCAACACAGACCTCAACACTCAACACTCAGACCTCAACACTCAACACAGACCTCAACACTCAGACCTCAACACTCAACACTCAGACCTCAACACTCAACACTCAGACCTCAACACTCAGACCTCAACACTCAGACCTCAACACTCAACACTCAGACCTCAACACTCAACACTCAGACCTCAACACTCAGACCTCAACACTCAACACTCAGACCTCAACACTCAACACTCAGACCTCAACACTCAACACTCAGACCTCAACACTCAGACCTCAACACTCAGACGTCAACACTCAGACCTTAGCACTCTGACCTCAACACTCAGACCTCAACACTCAGACTCCAACACTCAGACCTCAACACTCAGACCTCAACACTCAGACGTCAACACTCAGACCTTAGCACTCTGACCTCAACACTCAGACCTCAACACTCAGACTCCAACACTCAGACCTCAACACTCAGACCTCAGCACTCTCACCTCAACTGTTGTAATCCACTAGTAGGAATTATTAGCTAGAGGATCATTACTACAACACTTAACGAATGATGATTGGAAGTACATGTAAGTAGACAGACTATGGATCACATATCTAAGAAAGGTCAATGGATTAAGACCGAAGCTGTTAGCCAAATGATTAATTCCTGGAAAGAGGAATTATTCTTCGTCAGGCTTCTAGGAACAAGATTACCTCTCTAGGGATAAGGTTAATCGGATTATACCTTCCTTGAGAGGTGGGGTGAAATGGTTGAGGTAGATGGCTGACTGGAGTCAGTCTGATTGTGGGAGTGGAACTAGGAAGTCCTCCGCATCTCCGTTTGTGGCAGCAGCGAAGTGTAGCAGACAGCTATGCGAGAGCCTGTTGTGATCTTAGTGACCAAGTTAAGTCTGCAGTATGTGAGTATTGAATGTAAGACTAACCGGGTGTGGAGCGTTGTAGTAATCATTCCGTATTAGGGACTTAGGCGGAAGTTACGAGTGTGGGTGGTGATCGCGGAGGTCAAGTGGTCTATAGGTATTGGAAGTGTATTGACCTAATAGAGTATGTTAATTAATATAGTATTATTTGTCAGAGTCTATTCTTTGTAATTAAATGACAAAACCCGACGGCCTTTAAATACCTTCGATATGTTCATTCATTGTGTTCCAGTACAAACCTAGTGGTACGCCTCAAGGGTCTGGTGTGTGTAGGAGTACACGGTGGTAGTAACGGTTGCTGAGGCAAGGTGTTATGTGTTGTGTAATCGCTGTGTTCGGAATGAACCGGGGTTCAGCGTCACGACACAACACTCAGACCTCAACACTCAACACTCAGACGTCAACACTCAAACGTCAACACTCAGACCTCAACACTCAACACTCAGACCTCAACACTCAACACTCAGACGTCAACACTCAAACGTCAACACTCAGACCTCAACACTCAACATTCAGACCTCAACACTCAACACTCAGACCTCAACACTCAACACTCAGACCTCAACACTCAGACCTCAACACTCAAGACTCAGACCTCAACACTCAACACTCAGACCTCAACAGACAGTCCCCGCCACACTTCAGACGTGTCCTGGTGGCCCCACACATCACCCACCATCCAGCACCCTGGCGTGCCTTTGGCAAGGGCTGCCTTCAGTGTTTGATGCCCTCAAACACACACACACACACACACACACACACACACACACACACACACACACTGGTATATGTAAATGATCTCCCAGAGGGTATAGATTCGTTCCTCTCAATGTTTGCCGACGATGCAAAAATTATGAGGAGGATTGAAACAGAGGATGATAGTAGGAGGCTACAAGATGACCTGGATAGACTGAGTGAATGGTCCAACAAATGGCTGTTGAAGTTCAACCCGAGTAAATGCAAAGTAATGAAACTAGGCAGTGGAAACAGGAGGCCAGGCACAGGATACAGAATAGGAGATGAAGTACTTAATGAAACAGACAGAGAGAAAGATCTAGGAGTTGATATCACACCAAACCTGTCTCCTGAAGCCCACATAAAGAGAATAACGTCTGCGGCATATGCGAGGCTGGCTAACATCAGAACGGCGTTCAGGAACCTGTGTAAGGAATCATTCAGAATCTTGTACACCACATATGTAAGACCAATCCTGGAGTATGCGGCCCCAGCATGGAGCCCGTACCTTGTCAAGCACAAGACGAAGCTGGAAAAAGTCCAAAGGTATGCTACTAGACTAGTCCCAGAACTAAGAGGCATGAGTTATGAGGAAAGGCTGCGGGAAATGCACCTCACGACACTGGAAGACAGAAGAGTAAGGGGGGACATGATCACAACCTACAAAATCCTCAGGGGAATCGACCGGGTAAACAAGGACGAACTTTTCAACACTGGTGGGACGCGAACAAGGGGACACAGGTGGAAGCTGAGTACCCAAATGAGCCACAGAGACGTTAGAAAGAACTTTTTCAGTGTCAGAGTAGTTAGCAAATGGAATGCATTAGGAAGTGATGTGGTGGAGGCTGACTCCATTCACAGTTTCAAATGTAGATATGATAGAGCCCAATAGGCTCAGGAATCTGTACACCAGTTGATTGACGGTTGAGAGGCGGGACCAAAGAGCCAGAGCTCAACCCCCGCAAGCACAATTAGGTGAGTACAATTAGGTGAGTACACACACACACACACACACACACACACACACACACACACACACACACACACACACACACACACACACACACACACACACACACACACACACACACACACACACACACACACACACACACACACACACACACACACACACACACACACACACACACACACACACACACACACACACACACACACACACACACACACACACACACACACACACACACACACACACACACACACACAGGATTTAAATTATCACAGGATTTATATGATTTAAACCAGGAAATCGCAGCCGTCAACATAACAGTCCCAGAGACAAGAGGGGGAACCCACAACCAGCATCCCAGGAACATCAGTGGGGAGGGCAACACCGCCACCCTCATCTGCATTGAAACCCTCCCCTGACCCCGGGGAGCTGGTCGGCCGAGCGGACAGCACGCTGGACTTGTGATCCTGGGGTCCTGGGTTCGATCCCAGGCGCCAGCGAGAAACATTGGGCAGAGTTTCTTTCACCCTATGCCCCTGTTACCTAGCAGTAAAATAGGTACCTGGGTGTTAGTCAGCTGTCACGGGCTGCTTCCTGGGGGTGGAGGTCTGGTCGAGGACTGGGCCACGGGGACACTAGAGCCCCGAAATCGTCTCAAGATAACCTCAAGATAACCCCTCACCCTACCTGCCCCCACTCAAGTGCTCACTCCCCCTCCCTCCCCCCCACCCTATTCCGTCCCTGTCACCCCTCCCCCCTTCACACCATGTCCCCCTCTCCCCTTTCCCTCCTGTCTTCCCTCCCCCTTCTTCCCATATCCTTCTTATCCCTCTTCCCTCCTCACCCCAAATCCTTCATGTCCCCTCTACCTCCTTACCCCATACCCTACCTGTCCCCCCCTTACCTTGAACCCCCATCCCTTATCCCAGAATTCTCTGAGACCCTGTTAACCACCTCACAGGTCTTCACATCTATTGAACAGCTTCCTCCATCAACAGAACGCTCACCATGAAGGGGGACAAGAGAATGAACAGAAGAAAGTGAGCTTCAAGGCAATGTACACTAACGTAGATGGGATAACGAATAAAACAAGTGAACTTGGAGAATTGGCATTAGAAGAAAACCTAGACAATAGCACTCACAGAAACAAAGCTAACGAAAGCCATAACAAATGCAGTGTTTCCACAGGACTACTATGTAGTGAGGAAAGAGAGAGGAGGAAGAGGAGGAGGTGGTGTAGCTCTGCTGATAAGAAAAGGCTGGAGTTTTGAAGAGATGGTTGTTCAGGGCTGTGAGTTTTCAGTGACTACATAACAGGTACCATAACAATTGGAGGACAAAAAATTATTGTAGTAGTCATATATAAACCACCACCAAACGACAGAAGACCCAGAAAGGAATATGATAGGAACAACATGGCCACATCAATATAATAGAGAGAGCAGCTTCTATAGCTAGCAGGAATGGATCCAGACTACTAATCATGAGAGACTTCAACCATATGAAGATAGATTGGGAGAACAGAGACCCACATGGAGGACCAGACACATGGAGAGCTAAGCTGCTGGACGTAGCAACAAGAAACTTTCTTAGCCAACACATCAAGGGA